ACTGACTTTTGTCTATTCCTTTGAAGTTAGATATGAGAAAGTGTCACCAGTACCAAGAGAACGGTTTCTCACTGCGTCTGGTTCCTCCCATCAGATCGTCTATGTGAGCTAGTTAAAAACAAGGACTTTTTCTTGTTTTTAGGATCTCCTATCCCAGTTCAAAGACATATCCTTCCGAAGAATGTAGGTTTCAGTCACAATTTATGATGTCATATTTGCTGTAATGCTTTGTTGTAGCCACTGAAATATTCACGACCTGAGTTACTGCTTAGATCTTAAAAGAATTACAAAGGGAAGTCAAACTCTATTGTTCAGTGAAATGCAGAAATAGGAGTAGTCCCTAAGTACTAAAACATGAAAAGAGTTTAAAAATATGTATCTCTTTATATTATTAAGTTTAGAAAGCCAACCCAGATGCTTTGATTTGACTGGGATTCTATCCTGATGAGATATATTAAAAGACAAATCGACCACATTCTAACCTAGGTATATCATTTTGGGGGAAGGGTGTCGGGGGATCAAATCCAGTGACTCACACATGCGAAGCATACACTCCAGCAGACTGAGCTAAATCCTCAGCCTCAAATCCACAGCTATTAAAATCACATTGAGCACAATATATTCCTCAAACCTATGATGCTCTTTTGGGTCTTTTTCATTTTTACGTTCTGGGTAATGGATATCTTATGATCAATGTTAAGTTGTGATAGTACTTGTCCTTAAGAGATGACCTCATGGAAGATAGCTCAAGTAGTCATGGTAGAGCACATGACTGTATAAGGCCCCAAGTTTAATGTCAGGCACCGAGTGATTCTCAAATTACCCTGAAGGTGGCTAGCTGGGCCCAAGACCAGATCACTGGTCTCTCAGATTGAGTATAGCCATAGTGTGTGTGTGTGTGTGTGTGTGTGTGTGTGTGTGTGTGTGTGGTGTGTGTGTGTGTATGTGTTGCAACTCAGGTAATTAAGATTATGAAATTCTAAGATCCTACTGCTTTTACCTTAAAGAGATAACTTTACTCCATGACAGTTTAATGAGTGGCAAAAAGACCAAATAAGAACATCCAAAAGGTTCTGCTAATATTAAAGCTATATATGTAAATGTACACCCCAGAATCTTACTGTAGGTTATATTGGGACCATTTTATTTCAGCATGACTTTAAAAATTACTCAGATTCCATAAGTCAGAAAGACAGGGTAGGAGTTACCATGCTCACATTCCGTGTGGCCAATCCCCGTTTGATACCTGACACTGCCTGTGGTCCCCTTGAATATCACCCACTCACAGACCCTGAGCACCTCCAAGGAATTAAGTGGACTCCCCATAATTCCTGATTCCTTGAAAGATGACAGAAAATATAGTATGTATTAGAAGTGGAAAAGATCTCTCACTCATTACCAAACACCCCTTTCACTCTGAAAGTACCTCCCTGGTTTGAGGGTCCCGTAAGTAGCTAAAATAGCCAGGGGAGCAGCCTTATCTATCATTATCAGGCTGGAGTATGTCGACATGCTATTGCACACCACTCCAAATCTGACAAGTCCCACATAGTGCTACACATGGCAGCTCTTCAGTAAATACCTCCAGTTCATGGACATGAGCCACAAAACTCTCTTCTAGTTAAACATATATGTACCATTTTAGGAAAAAGCAAATTTCTAAAGCTCCGTTTTCTATTATTCTGCTGAAAGTCCTTTTAGTTAATTTTGAAACTAACTTATTTTTAAAATTTCGATTTGTGGGCCACACCCAGCTCAGGGGCTACTCCTAGCTTGGTGCCTAGGGCTGACCCAGACTTCCTGCATGCACTTCGGCCTACTGAGATCTCTCTCGTGAAACTTTACATAAATAAAAAATCCAAATAGATCAAATCCTAAAATGATTCTTTTTCTCGTCTCTCCTTTTTATTTGTGTGTGTGTGTGTGTGTGTGTGTGTGTGTGAGAGAGAGAGAGAGAGAGAGAGAGACAAAGAGAAAGAGAGAGAGAGAAGATTGGAGCCACACCTGGTATTCGACGGGGATTACAGGAGTGACCCCTAAAGGTCAGTCACATGCAAGTCTTACCTCTTGTTGACCTCTGGTTCCTAAACACATTCTATTTTTTCCCCCCATGAATCCTATAACCAATATTTTGGCCTATTTTGAAATCACGCATGAAAATAAGCACCCTAAAATTTAAAAATTACCATACCTTCATAAAGCATTTGTATCAGAGAGGGACATTTCACTGGAATGTTCATAGAAATAGTGAAATGTGAACTTGAAATTCTGGCATTACTGACAATAATTATCTTTAGAAATGCAGACAGTTCTTAGTGAGTGCCAGTATGGTTTGGAAATGTTTTATTTAGGCCTCCCAAGAAATATACAGGAGGTCCATGGGTCCCTCCTGGCAGTGTTTGAACAACTGGGCTGTTCAAGTGAGGGTCAAGCAAAGGATGTGCTGCTGCTCTGGCCCACTGGTGCCAGGAACTACCTGTGTCATTGTGGCAATGCTGAGGGTTTTAGGGTCTTACCCAGGGAGGCTCACAACCTCAAGAGCTGCACCCAGGGTGCTCAGGAGATCCCACAGTGCTGGGAAGTAATCTGGGGCCAGCCACATGCAAGGCACTTAACTCCTGTAATCTCTCTGGCACCTTATAAATATTTTCATGTATTTTATTGGAAAATCATAACCTTATGAAACTGGGAAGAAGAAATAACAGAAATGGAGAAAACAGGGCAAGAAGGAAGAAGAAAGAGGCTATATCTTAAAATATATAATTAAATTTTAAAAAACACTAATGATATTCAAACATCATTTTTACATTTTCAATAAAGAAATTCTCTGAATACTTTCTAAACAGACAAAAGCAACTTTCAAATCTTAAAAATATTTTACAGACCTGTTTGTTTGCAAGTCATGATTAAAAAGCAAACCTCAAATACCACTGAATCTGTTTTCTTATTTCCCCACTAATCCATTAGAGCTAATTTTAGATATAATAACTGCAAAGCTTCCAGGCAGAAACAGGTGAAATGTTTGTTCATTTTTTTAACCTATGTAAGCAATGAAACTAAATAATGCTTAAATTTTCAAAACTGAAATATGTAAAGGCACCTCCCACTTTTTTGTAACTATGGGCATAAGTAATCAACATGATAAATATATTCTTCTGGTTTTCATGTGTTTGGTAGCCTCAGGAACTCCAGAAAAATGTTTTGGGATTTCAATGAAGACAGACACATATCTTAAATATTACCACAGAAACAAAGGAAATTTTTGTTGAGAAATAGATTTATCATCAGAATGCATGTATACGGCTATCATGTATTTATGTGATAGTTTAAAACACTAACTTTTTAGTTACAAAATTGTGACACATTCCTGCTTATCCTGTTTGGAATACTCCCATTTAGAAATCTTTTATTTGCACAAAACAAGATCCATGGTTAAGCAAATAAGGCAGTAGAAACTGATCCTTTCCTAACTCAAATAATATCATACCCACCAATGCTTAACTGACTCACATGCTCAGGTGCATTCTATTGCAAACAAGTTATGAATCATATCAAATGACATTTGAAGACAAAAAGAAAAGCCATGGTTTAAATCATTAGTAAAGGAAGGCCTCCCTTGAAACTCATGTCAAGTTTCCATTGTGCAAAACACTCATCCACAGAAAAAGTCAAAAAGGACTTCATTTAATTAGTGATATGTAGACTTTTGCATAGAAAAAGGTTACAAAGTAATGCAAAAAAGACTAAGTACAGAAATTTTAAAACAAATATTTAAATGTATAATTCTGCATAATGTTTAACATTCTCATAAGATTTATTGCTTTCTCCACACAGCAGAGAAATGAAGTGCATAATAATACATGCTGTGTCTTTTTCTTTCAAACATAAAATCCCACATGCTCAATTTCAATGTATTAGAGATTATTTTGTCATTAAACAAAATAAAATTTAAAAAAAACACCATAATGAAGTACTAGCCTAGGCATGGACAAAAATAATTTATGTACATCCGATTGCATACATTCATTTTGATTTGGGATCAAACAATCACGAGCGCTTGAAAACCTGGAGCTATTCTTTTCCCCAATGCTCTCTTCCTGCCTCATCACCTCCAGAAACATCTCTCCAAAGGTGACAACAATAGAAATTACATCCTACCAGGACAAACTGAAAAGGATAAATATGTAAAAATAGTCCGAATGAAACGGAATAAATTAATCCAAACGTACAAACTGAAGACTTTTCAAGTTGGCATGAATCAAACAGCCTCTGGTGGGTAGGCACACGGTAGGCAGCTACCTGTGGGTACATTCGGTAAATATCTAGTAAATATAAAGAAGCACCATATTGTGAGCCATGAAACAAAGTCCCTGGGGCCCTAAGGTAGGGCAGAAATGCGTTATTAATCTGAGCACTGATGGAATAATTGCTTATACCAATGCATTACTAAATGTCACCACTTGGCAAGTCTGTACAAAGAAAGCGAACTAAGATAAAACTAGGTCTTGCAACTTGAAAATTATTTTCAACAATCCTTTTGGTCAATAAACACACCTGCCACTTGCTTTCAACAGAGTACTCATCTAGTATTGTACTGAAATGTCTGCAGCTTAATGCAAGACTTCTCTCCCTCCCCTTCCTTATTTAACCTAACCTCTATGCTCTTCTTCTCTTGTGCAGTGTTATAGGTGCAGAAGAAGACTGAAGTAACTCAGGCACTTATGAAACATGACATTTTCCCAGTTCCCCATCCCCTCCCCACACCCCCCATCTAGTTTCAAGAGAATTCCATCAGGGCATTTTTTCTTCTTCTGTTCGGATATATGGATGCACTGCCGGATGGTACAGTCCATAGATTTTCCAGGAAACTTCTAAAGGGAAACTTAAGGGTGAAGTTTTCAAAAGTGGTGGACGTCAGTTGTCAAGCTGCCTTCAAAAATAAAAATTAAAAAGAAAATAAAAACGGGGTGGTGGTGGGGGGGACAAAGATAATACCACATTTCCACGTGTGAGGTTTGTGTCTGAAAGAGCTTTATTGTTCCTTGGTGGATCTGTAGACATCTGTATGGCTACTTTCAGGGTGCAGAGGTTTGCAAGCTGAACTCTGAAATGAAGGACACTCAGTTACTACTGCGAGAAGTTCAAGGACAACTCAGAAAGCTCCCACTTCTGTCCCCCAGGGTCGGTAAGGTTTACTGTTTGTGCCGCTGCTGGTCTGCTGAGGGCTGGAGGTGGCGGACACCGACAAGGGGGGGCTGATGGCCGTGGCGGCGGCCACGGCGGCGGCGGCGGCCGCGTTGGGGGGGAGCATGGGGAAGGCGCCCGCGAAGGACAGCGGGAAGCTGTGGGCCGCGGCCGTGGCGGCGGCGGCGGCCGCGTGGACAGTGGCCGAGAGGGACAGGAGCGAAGTGGAGAGCGGTGGCACGCAGGGCGCGACGCTGCCCGTGGCTGGCATCCGCAGGGCGGAGTCGGCGTGGGCGAAGGTGGCCGTGAGCAGGGCGGAGCCGTGGGCAGGAGGCACTTCGGTGGCGGTGGACAGGCGACAAGGCGTGGCCTCAGAGGCGTGGAGTCCGTTGGGCTGCAGCAGCGCTGCGGGGAGGTGGTGGAAGGCGGCCGCCCAGTGGTGCGGGTGCAGGGGGTGGTGGTGGTGGTGGGCCAGCGACGAGGTCATCGCCGCCGCCTCCCGCTGCGACGCGCACGTGCTGAGGTGGGACACCAGCCGCACGCGCAGGGGGTCCGAGGAGTCCAGGCCTTCCACGGAGCTCAGGTATCTGGCCACCTCGGTGAGGCACTCTCGGAATCCGATGCTCATGAAGTCCATGGCCAGCGCGTGGGCATCAAAGTAACCTGCGTGGGGGGGGGGGGGCGGGGAGAGGGGAGAAGGGGGGCAGAAGGTCAGGCATAAAGAGAAAAGATGACTTTTTTTTTTCCTTTTCGGGTCACACCCGGTGATGCACAGGGGTTACTCCTGGCTCTGCACTCAGGAATTACTCCTGATGGTGCTGGGGGGGGGGGGGGGACCATATGGGATGCTGGGAATCGAACCCTGGTCAGTGCAAGGCAAATGCCCTACTCTCTGTGCTATTGCTCCAGCCCCAAGATGACATTTCCCACTCCCCCCCCCCCCCTCCCCCGGGGACCCACTGACTAGGTTGCACTCTGTCTTTCAGACTTAACTAGAAGGATGAGGCTTGCTGGGGGGAAAAAGCTGCCAGTGATTGATTGGCTTTAATGTGGGCAGAATGAAGAAAGGTGCTTTGCAGGCCACGTGTGTGGCAGCTCCGGCTGTGCTATATACAGCCACTGTTCTTGCAGCCAGATATCAAGGTCGGGTGGGGTCAGAGTGGGAATTAAGAACTGCCCTGTTTTTCAAACACTTTGAAAAGCTGGCGTCATCTCTCTTCTACAATGGGATTCCCTAGTGAACTTTTCCACAGACTCTAGAGTTTCAATCTCTCTCTTTCAATCTCTCTCTCTCTCTCTCTCTCTCTCACACACACACACACCCACGCACACACTTCACCCCTCTCTATCTCTCTCTGTGTGTCACATGAGTTAGAAATTCAAGGGCTTATCTGAAACAGCTTCAGTTTCTTGACATTAATAACAGTTGTGAAGTGCATCTTAACAGCTTGAGGACTTGCTTTTAAAACGTGTTAGGCTCTCAGTAAATTCATAAATACTTTTAAAAATCATTGTTTTTTTTTAATAGACATAGTGAAACCATCTTGCTCTTTGAACAAAATTCAACAGAAAGCAAAGTATTCTTTTAGGTGTGGCCATTTACCTTGATAGTACTTTCCTATTACACAATATGACACAACTGTTAAGAACTTATTATAACTCCCAGTTTTAATGAAATTGAATATATTTACTTCATTGGTTAGCTTACTTTTTCTTGGCATGCACACAAAAACATACGTGTAATTTTTTCATGTGTATGTATGTACCCATTATGTCATCCACCTACAGTTTGGGTTTTTAACATATGATGGTAACTTTTCACTTTGCCTTTAAAAGTTCTTGAGAATAATCTGAAGACATTTCTCAAATCTTTTCTTACTATCTCCAAACTGCTTGCATCTGGGGCTCGAGAAAGAGTTCAATGGGTAAGGTGCTTGTCTTTCACGCAATTGGTCTGGGTTTGATTGCTGGCACCTATCTGGGTCCCAGTCCCCCAAGCACTGCCAGGAGTAAATCTAGGTACCAAAGGGTATGGCCCACAAACCAAAACCAAACAAACAACAATGTCGGGAACCGAGTCATAGTTATAAAAATCTCCTTTTCTCAAAAGGTATGTTTGAAAATGAAATAATCATATCTTATTATTTTCAGTAATCTGCCAACTCGGAGTACAATTATCAAAATCAGACACTTGAGGCTATATCACCATTTTGGTAAACATATATATATATATATATATATATATATATATATACACAAACATACTGTTTTCAGATAAAAAAAAAACATGTTAAATAAAGTAACAAAATAGGAGACTAGCATCCATGAATGGCCGAGATTAGTACCAGGAATTTTACTCCATGGCTTGGAGGCCAGCCACACATGCTAGGGGGAAAGGGAGCTCAGATAGAGAAGGGAGCACCAAATAAAGGGTGTTGGGAGGATCCTCCCAGGATGGGAGAAGCATGCTGAAAGTAGACTATAGATAGACCAAACATGATTGCCACCCATTGCCTCTTTTGCAAACCACAACACCCAATAGGAGATAGAGAACAAAAGGGAATGCCCTGCCACAGAGGCAGGGTGGGAGGGGGGGATGGGTGTTGGGAGAGATACTGGGATCTGTGGTGGTGGGAAATGGGCACTGGTGGAGGGATGGGTATTTGATCATTGTATAATTGAAACCCAAGCACAAAAATTTGTAAGCCTACAACTGTACCTCACGGTGTCTCACTAATAAAAATAAATTTTAAAAAAGTGTTAAAGCGGAAAGTTTAATCTCACTTTTGGCATGTGTATGCATAAATAAGAAATACATTCAATCAAGAATATTTTCATCTAAGGCATTTGAAACTTTTAAATTTTTTTGCAGATAAAAGTATTATAATCTGTTAAAAGTAAGTCTACCTTATTCTGTATGACAGCATTTCAGAAACTAGTTACTCATTCAAAATTCTTAAGCTAGAATTTCAACTGAAAACTGGAAATTTAGGGGCAAAAATACACACTATTAAAACTATCACAATAATAGCAGAGAGCCGATATATGAGGGTATCATGAAATGTGGAAATTCAGGCACAAGAATGGTTATTCCTGGATAACAGTTAGCAGCTAAATCCTCTTCCTAAAGAGGAAACCTCCACAGAAAGATTTCATATGAAATCCCTCAGGATAATGCTGTGCATGCCTCTGACTTGTACAAGAAGAGGAGGAAAGAGAGGTCCCTCCTCCTCTTCTTGTAGGTTAATTATCAGGAGAGATCAAAGGGCTAGCAGGATAGTACAGTGGGTAGGGTACTCCATATGGTCCCTGAGCCCCTCCAGGAGTGATTCTTGAGCATTCTAGAGCCAGCAGAATGTCCTGAGCACTGCCAGGTGTGGCCACAATGCAAAAGGAAGCAAACAAACAGAATAGAGAAGTCCAGAAACCCTCAGGGATCCAGAAATTTGGATTACTCAAGTCTCTCAAGAAACAACTGGAATGCCAACACTGATTCTGAGGAATGGACTTCAGAATTCTTGGAAGGTCCCAGAGCTTCCAACTTGTCATTAGTGGTCATAAATTGCATAAATAAAATTGCAATTTGTGGTCTGCCAGCTATAGGCTGTCATATATGGCTATTTTCTCTGATGATCTCTAAGGAATGTAAATGATGCAATTCCTGTCCCACTGCTGAATGCATCGGGAAATGACAGTGAACTGCTATCTCCTGGGAATGGATCTCTGGCCAACTATAATAGCCATGCTACTTCCTCTATACCAGTACTACTGTATGGCTTTAATTAACAAACTATGTGGTGTGGGTACTAGCATGGCCCTCATTTTATGGATGTGGAAACTGGAGTTCAAGAGGGTCTGGAATTTACCCAGGGTGTTTATAAAGGTAGAGGCAGGATTTGAAATCAGGCAACTCAACTGCAGTGGCCCTGTCCTTGACCAGTGTGCTCTGAGACCTTCACTGCATCCTCCAAGGATGAGAGCCCCAGCGTCAGCCCTCTTCCTTCCAGGCCCACACATTCTGCCTGATGACCTCGCCAAGGTATGGCAGCCAAACAACTTATAGGGCACTTGTTGAAAATATCTGCTCATAAATTAAAATCTGTCTGGTACAAGTTTGAAGACTGTTTAGGTAGCCAAGAATAGCAACCAAGATGAAACTTAGTTTTTATAAGGCCTAAGAACAATATTAAGCTTTCGAAGTCCAATTCATACCAAACATTTGAAACTCTGATAAGGAGTCTTAAGCCTTATGGCTAACAATACCAAGGGAGAGACGCAACTTCCTTGTTTTCTGTTTTGTACCACCACAAACTCAAGCAGTCTCCTAAAATCCTGAGTAAGCAACTGCAGAGACAGTGCTATAGAGCTGGAGAAGTCTAGACCTCAGTGTGTTCACAGAACTTGGTGCGGGCCTCACAGAAAAGCAAAGAACCCCTACTCACTTGTCAAAGACAAGGCAGTAGACAAGTAGCGCTGGTCACTGGCTTTTTATTACTTTATTTTTTCCCTTTTCTACAATGTACAAAGGTTTTCACACTGTGTAGACTTCCCTTCGTAATTGTCACCTTTCCCCTTGACACAAGTCGAAGATGGTGAAGGTCAGGGATGACATTTCACAGGCACTCAGAGTGCCTATTTAGAGCATATTTAAATACCAAAATACTTCTTTACCAATTGGCGAAACAGATACTTTCTCCCATATTCTATGCCTGCCTGATCTAGAGAAAACTATGACGCTCTGTGGTATCAAGCTGAGTGCAGAGAAGCCTCCAAACCTTAAATGTGGTATCCAGATTTTCTGGCTGCTTTTCTGAACCCTGCTGTCAAACACACGGAATACTACCTACCTTTGAAAAGATAATAAATACCAAAGATTTCCTGAAGAGTGAAAAAGAACATAACGGAAAAAAAAAAGTCTAAGTAATGTGTGAGAAGTAGGATAATGACATGTGAATATTAATGTTCAGGGTGTCAAGCCTACTTTTATCACAAGTAAGAGACTGTCCCTGACCCAGTGCCCCAAGAACTCCTCCTTAAATCACTGTTCATTGTTGAGGACATCCCTTTCAGGTTGGGCCCAGGATTACTGTACCTGTTTGCTTTCCTTTAAGAATAACTATGCTTCAGTAATAATTTTCCTCAGTAAATTCACTACCTGTACTGTCTTTTCTAAATCTAAGACTAACCAAAATCTTGAAAACAATAATAAAAAAAAATTAGAGTCACCTCCTTTGGCAGTGTTGCATTCTACTGAGCCCTATGTCTTTTTTTAATTTTTGTTATTACTATTATGAAAATTAAAAAATATCACTCTAGTTCAGATAATAGTATTACAATAGTATTAATGCTTATGGTATTGAGGTACAAAGTTACTCACCCATTACTGCCAAAATGCCTAATACCTCCACCAAGATTTATTAAGGATTTGAATGAAGGCAAAGAAGAAAGAAAGATGGCCTTTAATCTCCTTTTTATGTTTGGGTATTTGTTTCATTTTTCTGTGAAAATTCAGGCATGAGGTTCTGCAGTTCCAAACAAATCTCTGATCAGACTAATGTAAAAGAAGTTTTACTTCCACAGTATGAGGAAAGCAAACACAAGTCTAGGGTCAAGTGCTTCTTTTGTTCCAGAAGTTCTTTCCCATGAGTTTGATTCTGCTATTAGCATTGATTTCTATGGCTTTAATCTCCTATCTCAGATTGTTAACTGTCCCATTCTGATGTCTTTACAATATTAAGAAGGAAAATGAAAAGAGAAATGTGGAAAGAGGGAAATGAAGTTCCCTACTCACCTTTACCCCCGGTTGCCTGAAGCATCTTCAAATGATCCACTGTCATTTGTAAAATTTCAGCTTTTTCTAACTTTGCAGACCCCTTCATAAACAAATAATAAATGTTGATAAGCCCCAAAGAAATGCATTTTGAATATTTATACTTAATTTTCAATTTTTTATCTCACTAGGAAATTCTAAAATCTGAATTAAGTCCCAACTTTATGTGAAAACACTTCTTGTGTTATACCTAGAAACAGATATTTGCCATTTTAATGTTTAAAATCTAAGGAACATAATTATTTTGTCCTAATACTAATTATTCTCCTTTGTTCACTTCCCCAAAACTATAATAGATGCAAGAATCTTTAACTTTGCATCCAATACCTAGCCCGGGTGGTTATTTCAGGGATCATCCAAGAGTCTGATATAAATGCTAAAATCTTGGTCAACTGAATCCATTTTAGGAGGAAAGGATCTTAATCAAGACACTGTAAAAAATATATATATATGTATATATATATATTTTTTTTTTTTTAATAGAAAAAGTCAGGTGAGTTTTTAAGGAGATTCACCAGTAAGCAGAACCAAAATTTTCAAAGGAAAGGGTTTTCCTCCAACTATCACCAGCAGGTGTCACTATAAATTTCAAGCTCATAAGGTAGAAAGTTTAGCTTATAACTTACCGAGTGAGCATGAAGAAGCAAAAGAATATTGAACCCTTTCATTTAGCTCTTCATAAAATATTTCTGGGAATATATTGTCATCTTCCCTTTCAAAAAAGGCAAAACCTCTAGATACCAATAGAAATATAAATGTGCTACCTCTGCTTCTATGAGAAGTAGATCTTCCAGGAAATTTAAAACTATTTCTAGTTTCCTGGAAAATCTAAATAATTAAATCTTCTTTTGCTTTGTTTCTGTTTTAAAGACATTGAAATTCACTTCAGATTCCTCTGCTTTATTTGTGCTTTTTTTTCTCCCTTCTCAATAATTAGCGCCTAGTTGATGGTAAGAGTGCCAGCATTACTTAACTTTCCAAAGAACACTCTAGCAATCATACTGTGACAGGGCCAGCTCTTTCCGGGTGGTAGCCAAGCTCTGAAAATGGGAAAGCCTGTGTTTATGGTAACTAACTGTCAAACAACTGAAGTTTGCTTTTAAGGTTTGTTTTAATTCAACATTAAAAAAAAAAAGGAAACCAAGAAAATTAATTCCCCAACAGACTATTCATTTTAACACAGGAATCTGGGTACCCAGAGAAACATCACTGATTACAGATGTTTTTATTTTTTAAACTATTGAATATGCTATTAAAACTACATTTCCACATCACATTTAGCATATCTGAGAGTTTTAACATATAGGATGAGTGTATTTTTTGTCCCTAAAAAAGTGTATAATCACTAGCACATTATGTTTTGTGCCTCCATCCGTGTTCAATTTCTCCAAGAAGATGAACAGTAGTTTTAGTGAAAGTGACTAATAACTAAAACCACAGTTTCTGGATTATTTCCAAGGACTTTTGTAAGGCTTGCTTTATTATGTTTGTGGTTCATGAAGTAAACAACAAAATGAAATAAACAAACACTGCTATCTTATACCCTAGTTGCGCTAAACTGAAAGTGCTTTCAATAAGGGAATGGTACTCACTATCTGAAAGATGTCCTTAGAAATCTGTGCTTAAAAAATCAGTCATTTTAAGAGACGAGACACCACTTTCCTCAAATGGAGAAAGATTTAAACATTTGTTTAGTTCTGACTTTTCCTAAGTGTGCAAAAAAATTTTTTTAATAAAGAAATATTCAAATTCTTCACTGGGAAATTTATGGTTAACTTGATTTTCACCATATTTCCAAAATGATGTATGTCTCCAAAAGAATATTATTCCATTAGCCCAGGAATTAAAAATGAAAGCAAGTAAGTGGCTTGGCAAATAAGTTTTATTAGTATCATTATTTATCATTATTTAGGCAATAGAAGTGGGAATGTTACTTTCCGAACTTGAATTTTTTTTTACTTTTTTAAAACTATTGAAGACAAAAATGAAATTTCACACATGATATCATTTTTTGAAGAATACTACGTACAGCTTGGTTTTAAATAAAACCACCACTGGTATTCGGAGAAAGAACAGAAAACATGAACGGTTTTACCCTTAAGGGGAAAATAAGCTAAAGAACAGAAATGTTTTTCAACTTCATGATGGATTATGTTTTTAATAGTTTTGCCACAACAAAGCATTTTATTGAAATAGCTGCTGAGAGCCAGATCAGGGTACATACACCATTATTTTAATGAGCTTTAACAAGAACCCACATTCCCAGAGAGAATCAGATTCTTTTTAGCCTTTTGGTAGGGTGGTCAGGGGTGGGGGAAGCTTACTTGTTTTTCAAAAGCAGTTGGCACTAGTCTTCTCAACTCTGATAAACTGTTATTTATCCGATCTCGACGTCTTTTCTCTATAATCTATGCCAAAGCAAGCAAAATAAAAATTTATAAATACACAAATGATAAAATTACTCATAATAAATGTTACATATTAGGTTGATTAGATCCGAAAGAAAAAGGGCAAAATTAAAAAAAATAACAACATACCCCTCTCCTTTTCTTTCTGGCCATAATCTGAGACGTTGTCGTTGGAGAATTAGATCTAATCACAGAGCTAGCACTTTGCCTAAGAAATAGGAAGAGTATGTCAGGTGTTTCCATTAACATAACAATAGTTTTTTCTGGGCACCTGATAGCACCCCATTAAGCATTCAGAGTGATTGCACAAGTCAGGTCTGTGTGATTTTACTCTTAATTCTTGCTTTAACATACTTGCTTTTAGTCCTTAAATCCCCCTACCCCTTTGGTAGGAATCTTTTCATCAAAAAAGTATATTATTGAGTAATCCACACACCAATTGACAATAAGCTTCTGAATTTTTACATCTCCCAGCAAAATGATCATGGAAAGTCATCATGAGAAGTTAAACATTAATATTTCTTAGTTCCACTTATATTACTTAAAAGACAACTAATGTCTAACAGCATCCCTCATTCTGTCTCCTAGCAGACACACTCAACAAAGCAAAGTTCTTTCAAAGTAAAACCGTGTTTAGCACCTCTATCAAAAAGGTATTTGTCATCATATGTCAAACTCTTTCCCTAGCCGCAATCTTTAAAATAAACATCATTTCTCTCTTTCAAAACTTGAAATAGTCACAACGGAGAAAAATGACAAACTTGAATTTCTGCATACTAATTCTCAACATCCAAATTAAACATTCAAATTAAATATGCCATTGGTAGAAAAATTAAAATTATATCCGTTATTAGGTAAATACTTTTTTCTTTTAATGAAACTCTATGGAAGTGTCTCTCAGCCTTCAATCTAAGCTTTATCCTTAAGGAGCTACAGACCCTCTTGAGTTTAATGAAAAGATATCTCCTAATGAACTTTCAGTCATTCTGTCACATAATTTTTTGGCCATCTTTTAGTTTGTGTCTGTTTCTCTTCATAATTCACAGACACTGCTTATGTTCTCAAATTCTCCAGGCTTTCTGTTATTTGTTCTTTCATTTTAAAATGTTTCACACACCAGGTTCTTATTACTTCACCTTCTCACTTCTGGATCTTATTTCTGAATTAACCGTACCCTTCATTCCCACCCCTTCACTGGTTTCGCCTTTCACATGACATCTTCTGTTTTTCAGATCTCTCTCTTTTAAAAAAAAAACAGTTACACGACACTTTAATAATTAAAAGATACTTTGCAAATATATATTTGCTTTTGCTGCTTCCAGGCTTTGGTTGGTCCATAACGTGGCGGTGGGGGGGCAAACACCACAAAATCAGTTTTCCAAAGGTAGGAAGAATTTTTGGTCTCTGAGTGACAGCTGCAGATAAATAATTAAGGTGCTTCTGGGGATACCAATTAGAAGCAATTATCATTTGACCCGCCTTGGCACTAAAATGCCTCGGTAATCTCCCTCTGTCACTGCAAAGTGGAGGTCTGGCTTCTGTGATCACGACCTCGATCTTTTCCAGACTTAAGCACAAGCAGTCAAAGAGATGATGCCGAAACGACCCTTACATCTGTCACTCATTCTCCCGCCAGCCCAGTCACACATGGTCAACCTGCAGAGCTCAACCTCCTGAGCCCTGACATAGCAAATGGCTGTAATTTCTCCAAAGAGTAAGTCCTCTTGGGGCCTCTTTTTAAAAAAAAAAAACAAAAAAACCAAAACTTTGAATTTTTTTTTTCTGTTTGTTTTGTTTTCCTCCTCCTGGCTCATTTTGAAAGGGTTCTCAAACACTTTCCGTGGCAGGGGCGTCGCCCGTCGCCCGGACGTGCCAGTCCCCGCGCCCAACGCTGACAGCTTGGGACCCTCCCTTGCCAGCTCCTGCATTCTCTCTCGGTCGCGTCCCGGGGTGCGGGCCGCCCCACCCCACCCCCGAAGGAAAACCGACATCCCTCGCCCCACCCCATTGCCAAGCACCCACCGCTCCGTTGCACGGGGCAAAAACTTGCTCCCAATTCCCTGAGGACGCTGCGGAGCCGAGCCTCGGGATCCCCAAACTCCAGCTCTGCCCCAGCGCCCGGGGCGCTCCCACGGCCGGCCCGGGGGGCTCCGGGCAAGCTCCCGCCGCGCCCGCGCTCACCCCGAGTAATTGTTCTCGCTGCCCACGTCGATGGTCTCATCCATGTCGCTCTCGGAGGTGGACTCTTCGCAAGGGCGCTTCATCGCGGCGAAGAGACTGCGCAGGGCGCAGCCCGCCCGGCCGGCCCGAGCGCGGTGCAGGCGTCGCGCCCTCCCTTGCCGACCTCCTCCCACCCGCCCTCCCGGGGTCTCCGTCAGGCGCGGCTCCCGCGGCGGCGCGGTCGGCTCCTCGCGGCTCTTTCCCACGCCTCAGCCCCGCTCGGCCGCAAGAGCCGGCGCCGGCCACGCCCCCCACCCCCACCCCCCCTGCGCGGGCGGGGTCACGGCTCCCGCCTCCCGCGTGCTGGTAGCGGCCGCCCCAACGGGCACCGCCTCCCAGGAGACTAGGGCGGCCGCTGATTGGCGGAGGCCCGGAGGGCGGGGCCCCGCGCGCCAATGCCCGCCGCGAGGCTCCAGCCGAAGCGTGGGAACGCGGTGGCGCACCTGGGGCCCCAGCGCCGCGCGCGCGGCTCCCGGGAGGCGAAGGCGAGCGGGCGTGCGAGGGAGGTTGCCGGCGGCCGCTGGAGAGGCGCGCGGACGTGGGGGGCGCGGGCGCCACAAGGGGCGGGCTGGCGAGGGGCGGGCTCCAGGCTGTGGGTTTGGGGCCTCCTCTGCGTCCCGCGGTCGGTGGTAGAAGTTTCGACCCGGTGTTTAATAACCCCGAAGCGCGGGGCCGAGTGTGAGCGAGCGTGAGTGACGTCGGGGAGGCGCCGTGGCTTAACCGAACCGCCCCACTCTGTCGTCCCTTGCCTGGACCAAAAACTGCTGACAGGCTGACCCTAGCGGTCACATTTGCCCCCTGGGTTTCTTTCTTTCTTTTTTTTTTAAACCTTAAATCAAAGTTGCTTTTCTTCCCGACGCCGCCCGAGGTTACTTCTGCGGCCTCTGGGCAGTGGACCGATACGGACTTGCGTTTCCCCGACCAGGTACTTAATCGCTGGCGGTCGGAGAGTCAGGGAGGTCGAGCACTTTGTGATTTTCAATGTGTTTTAAAATCAGTTTTTTTTTTTCTCGTGGCTCAGAGGCCGCGGAGAGTGGATCCTGCTGAGCAGACCCAGGGCTGGAGTTATGCCTACTCCGGAGGTAGGAAGAGCTGGAGTAAGGATGCAGGTTATTTTAGGATACGGTTTTTAGTGGGTTTTCACCTTCTGAGTTTTTCAGGTTTTGATAATCCAGATGATTGCGGTTCTCCACCCTTGCCGCTGCGTGCTTTCGCAGCGGTAAGAATGAATGAGAACCCCAAAGGGGGACGGGGTCTGGGGGATGGGGGGATGCCCTTAGACGTGGCCAGCTTTGCGAATGGATGTCCAGTTTTTAAGACAGTGGGCATCGCGGCTTGTATAAAACTCTCCGTGGTCTTTCAAAACATCTTTTCAAGATGCTCTTTTTCTCTCTATCCAGCTCTGCGATTAAGTTTGAACCAACTTCGGCAACGCGCCACAGCCGACTTCTCTTGGGCCGCCGGGGTCGCCTCGCCTGCTCCGCGCAGCGGTAGCCAGAGGTGGGCGGCAGATTGGTTGTAGGTTTGGGGGCGTCGGTTCCTCCGGTTGCAGCGAGAGAGCTCGGGGTTTAATGGAGAAAAGCCTTAGAGAAAGGGCATCTATCGAACACCATACCCTCTCGCCTGGACGGATTTTAAAGAAGATCTGCCTAAGGGAGGGGTTGGGTGGGCGTCCCTTTGATAAGCTGTTCTCCCTCTCACCCTGCGCCCCCCCCCCCCCACACACACGCATGCACAGGAATCGCGCTGGGCAGGGAAGAGGAAAAGCGACGTGGAAAAGACCAGGTTGGGGCCGGGGTTGGACAAGAGGAGGGCGGGAAGTTATCCGCAAGCCAGTGTGTTAAGCCCCTCATTAAAACGTAAAACCCCCTTCCCCGGACGCCCTGGTCTCTTTTGTGCAATCTTTCTTGAAGTCTCTTGCAAATAATCGTGAGAACAGAAACTCAACACGTTCTCCATCCCGACATCTGAAATTTAACCCCCGGCAAAGCTACAGAGCGGGAGAAGACGGGGGGGGGGGGTGCTGGGGGCGGGGAAGTGAGGGAACTGATGGGGCTGGACCAGGTCAGCTCAGGACAACCGAGCCTCGGGGTCGTGACGCCCTCCCAGCCCCTCCCAGTTCAGTCCGGCTATCGGGTCGGTGGACTTCTGGCTTTTCCCGCTGCAGCAGCTGCAGCTCAGCCGAACCCAGCGCAGAGGGGAGCAGACACGTCTGCTCAGACCTCCCGGGTACCACTCAGGTTCCCGGTCCCCGCGGCCCTGCGCGCGGTAAACCTGGGTTCTCCTGCCTCATCATATCCCAGGTGGCTGTGCCAGGGGCCAGTCCTTGTAAATCAGATGTGCCAATCGAAGTTGGCCTGGGCCAACCGGACCTTCCCAGCGTGGGGGCAGCACGCTTTCCTGAAAGCGCGTGTTTGCAGGTGCAATTTCTGATAGCCACGCGAGCAAATTAGTGGGCACTTCGGAACGCACGCCGGAGGCAAAACCTGAGACTGCCGCTGGGGGAAAAAAGGTCTCTCTTACCACACGAATGCATTTAATTACAATGATTGCGGGGGGGGGGGGGAGGGGGGAGGAGTTTTTAAGAAGTTTTGCTTGCAGTTAAGTAACAACTGATTAAAGTCATTCCATATTTATCTTCGAAGACTTTCCCGCTGTAGCCTAGTCTAAAGACAGATAGCAGGGACGTTGGAAAAGACATACGGGTTTAAGGTCGGTTAAAAATAGTTCCAACAACAAGACGCATATTTTTTAAAAGCGTTTAGAACGGTGCCTGGTGTAATAGTAAGCTTTTTATAAGTCTGTTAAGCAGACAAGAAAGCTCAGGGCCAAGACCTCGGCGTTTTAAACACTATCTAGAGGATAAAATGCTCACTTTCCTGCAAAAACACTTCAACGCAATTAGGCGGTTTGAGATTTTTTTTTTTTCAATTAGGTCTTTATTTCCCTCAAGTATTCCTGTATTCGCTTCTTCTCTGGCTAGGCGCCTTGGCTGTCCCAACAGAAGGTCCTTCTCGGCTAAGAGTGAAAAAGAGAAAGGAAACTCTTCAAAACGCCCAAACTTACTGAAAATTGGTCCTGGATTGTCGGGGTGTGGGGGCGGGGGAGGAGAAGGGGTGGTGCAAGAGGAAAGAATGAAAACAGAATGAGAGCACCGCAGGATTTTAAGCCTCATCGCCCTTTGGCGACATCCTTTTCAGTGAAAGTTGGTTGAACCCTTAAAAGCCTTGAGCAGAAAAAAAAATGTCCGCGCCCAGAGCAAACTGCATTTCTTCCCTTTCTTTCTTTTAAAGAGATTTGTACAATGAGATAATTAGACCGAAAGATATGAGGGACTTTTCTAGAAACAAAATGCCACTAGGAAAGAAAGCCCAGGACTATGGGTCTGAAAGGAATGGAGGAGGGGAAGGTTCAGATGTCTTCATGAAATTGGTCCTCTCACACTTGTATTGTGCTTTAAGTGATTTAACTCACTTTTAGGCCTGCTAGGAAGAAGTTGAATACCGAGATTTGGAAATAGTGGGAATTGGGGGTCCTGATCCCCTTCCCCACTCTTCCCTGTTCGCTTAAGGTCCTTAATATTTTTTTTCATCTGTTTGGTTAAATTTGGCCATTTTTCACCTTATTCTAGAAAATAGGATATTTATTAGGAAAACTAATAGAGCAATTACTATACTGTGTTTTAAAATATTTCCCTTGCAATATGTATGGTACTAACCTGGGATCTTTAAAAATTCTTTTTGCTAGCCTGCCTCATGAGCAAAGGGGAGAAGGCAGCTGGAATAGAGAAGGGATCACTAAGAAAATGATGCCTGGAGGAACCAGTGGGGATGGGAGATGTGTGCTGAAAGTAGATAATGGACCAAACATGATAACCTCTCAATATCTGCATTGCAAACCATAATTCCCCAAAGTAGAGAGAGAGAGAGAGAGAGAGAGAGAGAGTATGAGGAATATTGTTTGCCATGGAGGCAGGGGGAGGGTGAGAAAGAAGGGGTATACTGGGGATATTGGTGGTAGGGAATGGGCACTGGTGGAGGGATGGGTGTTTGATCATTGCGTGATTGTAACCCAAACATGAAAGCTTGTAACTATCTCACAGTGATTCAATAAAATTTTTTTAAAAAGTCAGGCAAATAAACCCTAACCACGGAGGGGGTGGGGGCAGGGGGGAATTCTTGCTTTGATTTTTTTCTTCATTAGAACAGCTGATTTTCAAGATCAACTTTGACACTTTGTTTTTTGTTGTTTCTTGGAATCTTTGGGAGGCAAAGCTGCTTATAATTACTTAAAAGTGTTGGCCACTCCAGTGATTGCCTTTTCTTAGAAGGTCACAAAGGCATGACATGGCTAAAAATGTTTTCACTTACTTTCTCAGTCTGCTTTGTCCCTCTAACACAGGCTGCTCTGTTATTAAAAGATCTATTGTACATTACTTTGAAAAGCTTAAGCGTATGTAGTTGAAATGAAGAAATCCGCTACTTGGCCATATCTGAAATGCTGTAATTGGTGACATGGCTTTCTCTTGTAACGGGCAAACTAGCCTGTTGCCCAGGAGAAGTGCTGGTCTGTTTGCAATCGCTGAGGCAGGTGATAGGCATGTGCACTGTGGGCAGTCTTGTTGGGCTGCTTTTCCTGACTCCAACTCCATAGTGAGCTAGCTGGCAGCTCTTTAAAACAGTGAGAGTAGTAAACCCAAGGGCAAGATACTTGTGTATTTCAGTATATCTCTCCACATCAGGCTGGCTGCAGGCAGGCCAATCTAGGGTCACTCTGCAACAGATATTGCAAGGCAGTAAAGCAAAACTAAGCTGAGAAAGCAAGGACACACTTAGGCCCACCAACTTTGAAGTCACCTACAAAAGGGAGCTACTTTACCTGTAAGCAATTATTCTTGCCTGGTGGGCTCCAGAGTGCACCGTGTTTGTTGACTTGGTATACCGTTTGTTTCATCAAAAGCTTCCAGGTAGGAAATGTAAGAAGCAAAGCACCGTGTCTTGGAAGTAAGAAGGCTTAAATTTATCTCTGTTTTTAAGGGGTAACGTATTTTAAAGCTTTTAAAAATGACTTGTGTT